TGGGCATGATAAAGGACCAAAATGGCAGAGACCTAACAGAGGCAGAAGAGATTAAGAAGAGATGGCAAAACTACACAGAAGAACTATACAAGAATGAGCTTAACATCCCAGATAACCACAATGAGATGGTCACTGACCTCGAACCAGACATCCTAGAATGTGAAGTGAAATGGGCCTTAGAAAATCTGAGCAACAACAAAGCTAGTGGAGGTGACAGTATTCCAGCTGAGCTATTCAAAATCTTAAAAGACGATGCAGTAAAAGTGCTACACTCAATTTGCCAGCAAATTTGGAAAACTCAACAGTGGCCACAGGATTGGAAAAGGTCAGTTTACATTCCAATTCCAAAGAAAGGCAATGCCAAAGAATGTTCAAACTATCGCACCATTGCACTCATTTCACATGCTAGTAAAGTTATGCTTAAAATCCTACAAGCTAGACTCCAGCAGTATGTGGATCGAGAACTACCAGAAGTACAGGCAGGATTTCGAAGAGGCAGAGGAACTAGAGATCAAATTGCCAACATACGCTGGATCATGGAGAAAGCTAGGGAGTTCCAGAAAAACATCTACTTCTGCTTCATTGACTATGCAAAAGCCTTTGATTGTGTGGATCACAACAAATTGTGGCAAGTTCTTAAAGAGATGGGAGTACCAGACCATCTCATTTGTCTCCTGAGAAACCTATATGCGGGTCAAGAAGCAACAGTGAGAACCGAACACGGAACCACTGATTGGTTCAAAATTGGAAAAGGAGTCCGGCAAGGCTGTATACTGTCGCCCTGCCTATTTAACTTATATGCAGAGCACATCATGAGAAAGGCAGGGCTAGATGAATCAAAAGTTGGAATTAAGATTGCCGGGAGAAATATCAACAACCTAAGATATGCAGATGATACCACTCTAATGGCAGAAAGTGAAGAGGAACTAAAGAGCCTCTTGATGCGGGTGAAGAAGGAGAGTGCAAAAGTTGGCTTGAAACTCAACATTAAGAAAACCAAAATCATGGCATCCGGCCCTCTCAATTCCTGGCAAATAGATGGGGAAGAAATGGAGGTAGTGACAGATTTTATTTTTCTGGGCTCCAAGATCACCTCAGATGGGGACTGCAGCCAAGAAATTAAAAGACGCTTGCTCCTGGGGAGGAAAGCTATGGCAAATCTAGACAGCATCTAAAAAGCAGAGACATCACCCTGCCAACAAAAGTGCGTATAGTCCAGGCCATGGTTTTCCCAGTTGCAATGTATGGCTGTGAAAGTTGGACCATAAGAAAGGCTGAGCGCAAAAGAATTGAGGCCTTTGAACTATGGTGCTGGAGAAGACTCCTGCGAGTCCCTTGGACTGCAAGGCGTTCAAACCGGTCAGTCCTAGAAGAGATCAACCCCACTGCTCTTTAGAAGGCCAGATCCTGAAGTTGAAACTCAAGTACTTTGGCCACCTAATGAGAAGGAAGGATTCACTAGAGAAGAGCCTAATGTTGGGAAAGATTGAGGGCAATAGAAGAAGGGGACGACAGAGAATGAGATGGCTGGATGGAGTCACTGAAGCAGTAGGCGTGAATTTAAATGGACTCCAGAAGATGGTAGAGGACAGGAAGACCTGGAGGAACATTGTCCATGGGGTCGCGACGGGTCGGACACGACTTCGCAATTAACAACAACTTGGTTCATAAGGAGAAGAAGAAAAGGCTGGTCACCTGCTTCTGCCTTCTATCTCAAAATCCCAAAATATGGTATTGATGAGATTTAATAATGGAACAAAAGGAATCTGGACATGAGTGAAATACTCTACCTGCAAAAATAACATTTTGATACAAAACACTGTTTAAGAAACTAGATATTATGATAGCTTCCTCAGTACTCATAGCAACTGATATGAATTCATGCTATCAATCTCAAAAGAAGACTACTGAGGAGTGATGGAATTCAAATACCTGAAAAACCAGTTCTCTTATTCGATGCAGGCCTGAACTCTGAGGCCTAGAACGGACTGCCAGAAGTGGCATCCACGCACTTCTGGTGGGCCATTCTAGGCCTGGGAGGCCTCCTCCAGGCCTGCAAGGCCTAGACTGGATTTCTGGGAGCCAGCCGGTTCTCCAAATGTAGCAAAAATTAGCTACCGGTTCTATCAAACCGGTGCAAACAGGCTGAATCCCACCACTGCTACTGAGGGAGTGATTAATAAATTATACATATGGAAACAAAGTGGACTTCTGTGTGAGGGAGAATCTGTTCCTGCCAGTTCCTGCTTGCTCTGAATACCTCAGAAATACTTCAGAAATCAAATTCCAATCACCCATCGTAATAGCTCCATGACAAGGAATTTACAGCCAGGTCCAGAAATATTGGGACATCGACACAATTCGAACATCTTTGGCTCTATACACCACCACAATGGAGTTGGAATGAAACAAACACAATGTGCTTTAACTGCAGACTGTCAGCTTTAATTTGAGGGTGAACGGGGTAGGACTTACAACAGTTTTCTATATGTGCCTCCCACTCGTTAAGGGACCAAAGGTAATGGGACAATTGGCTTCTCAGCTGTTCAATGGCCAGGTGTGTGATATTCCCTCATTACCCCAATTACAATGTGCAGATAAAAGGCCCAGAGTTCATTTCAAGTGTGCTATTTGCATTTGGAATCTGTTGCTGTCAACTCTCAAGATGAGATCCAAAGAACTGTCACTATCAGTGAAGCAAACCATCATTAGGCTGAAGAAACAAAACAAACCCATCAGAGAGATAGCAAGAACATTAGGCGTGGCCAAAACAACTGTTTGGAACATTCTCAAAAAGAAGGAATGCACCGGTGAGCTCAGCAACACCAAAAGACCTGGGAGACCACGGAAAACAACTGTGGTGGATGACCGAAGAATTTTTTTCCTTGGTGAAGAAAACATCCTTCACAACAGTTGGCCAGATCAAGAACACTCTCCAGGAGGTAGGTGTATGTGTGTCAAAGTCAACAATCAAGAGAAGACTTCACAAGAGTGAATACAGAGGGTTCATCACAAGATGTAAACCATTGGTGAGCCTCAAAAACAGGAAGGCCAGATTAGAGTTTGCCAAACAACATCTAACAAAGCCTTTACAGTTCTGGAACAAGATCCTATGGACAGATGAGACCAAGATCAACTTGTATCAGAGTGATGGGAAGAGAAAAGTATGGAGAAGGAAAGGAACTGCTCATGATCCTAAGCATGCCACCTCATCAGTGAAGCATGGCGGTGGTAGTGTCATGGCATGGGCATGTATGGTTGCCAATGGAACTGGTTCTCTTGTATTTATTGATGATGTGACTGCTGACAAAAGCAGCAGGATGAATTCTGAAGTGTTTCGGGCAATATTATTTGCTCACATTCAGCCAAATGCTGCAGAACTCATTGGACGGCGCTTCACAGTGCAGATGGACAATGACCCAAAGCATACTGCAAAAGCAACCAAAGAGTTTGTGAAGGGACAGAAGTGGAATGTTATGCAATGGCCAAGTCAATCACCTGACCTGAATCCCATTGAGCATGCATTTCACTTGCTGAAGACAAAACTGAAGGGAAAATGCCCCAAGAACAAGCAGAAACTGAAGACAGTTGCAGTAGAGGCCTGGCAGAGCATCACCAGGGATGAAACCCAGCGTCTGATGATGTCTATGCATTCCAGACTTCAGGCTGTAATTGACTGCAAAGGATTTGCAACCAAGTATTAAGAAGGGAAAATTTGATTTATGATTATTATTCTGTCCCATTACCTTTGGTCCCTTAACAAGTGGGAGGCACATATGCAAACTGCTGTAAGTCCTACCCCGTTCACCTGAGTTGGATGTACATACCCTCAAATTAAAGCTGACAGTCTGCAGTTAAAGCACACTGTGTTTGTTTCATTCCAACTCCATTGTGGTGGTGTATAGAGCCAAAGATGTTCGAATTGTGTCGATGTCCCAATATTTCTGGACCTGACTGTAAGTCTGTACCAGTTATCTAGAAGACTTGAATAATTTTGTTTAATAGTGAAGAGTTGATTCAAAATTCACTTGTAGCTTGATAGTTAAAAGAGATCTATCATTCAGTAATCGATTACTCTTTTTTTTAACTGATCTGCTTTCTGTAAGGGATCCTTGGGGAAAAATAGCAGAGAGTGCATGTTTTTGAGAGTACAGCTAGATACACAGCTTCCCTGTATCAAAATCAAAGCCTAGCATTTTAAAACATTTGTATTTTGCGAGTTGCTTTGACAATCACAAATAGAGAACCAATAGTAATACCCTGAATCTTAAATGTCTGCAGAGAATAGAGGAAAGGGTATACTAGGTTATAAGTGAAGCAGCATGTATCTCCCTGTTTCCCATTGGTTGTTTATGCAACATCAATACAACACTTTAGAAGCCAAATTACTAAACAAGCTGCCAATTAGGCTTGCAGTCAGCTGGATAGATTAGTAGCTAAGAGAAGCAGTTACAAGATTTTCATCTCTTGAGCCAATTACTCAAGTGAATTACCATCCACAGAGCTCCTTGGGAATTTAAGACAGAAAGACTTACTCAGCTATGATAGGCATAAGTGAGACTCAGGATAAGGTTAGAGTTGTCAGATCATATAGATTGGCCAATGAGGAAAAAAAAAATCCTATCTATGAGAAGACTTAAAGTATTTAGGATTTAGGAGTGCTGGAAAAGAAAATAATGAGTGTGCAAACTTAATTAAATTTAAGTATGTTAAAGTTATAAAGGGAGGCAATCGGAGCTAACATTGATTCAGTATAGAATAGAATTCTGCTATGGTAAAATGTTCAATTTATCATCTTTTACATGCATTTATCATTAGACAGTTTAAATATATAAGAGCAGACAATACCATATGAAAATGATTTGACTATACTATACAGACTGATGGAAATCCATTATACTTCTGAATATATATATATATATATATATATATATATATATATATATATATATATATATATATATATATATATATATATATATATATGTACATGGGTACAGAAAAAAGAAAGAGAATCCATTTACTATTACAACTTTCATGATCTTTAACTGGGTAAAACAGTTCATCTTAGGGCAACTATTCTGAACCAAGGTATCTCAAATGGACTAACGTACAGAATATATCCCAAAAGTAGCACCAAGGGACTGAAATTTGGAAGGTTGTAGTTGCTTCAGGACTGCTGGCTGCTGCTGTACTGCTGCTACGGTCATGTGATCTTCATTTTCAATGTTCTGTGGCAGTTTGTCAGCCAGTCTCACAATCCCTGGTTCTTCACCCAGCAGCATCACTCACCTGCCTGCTGGGAAGGAAGGGAAAGGAAAGAAGGAAAGGGGAAGAAGGAACAGCTGTGTATCCTTCCTGGCCTAAGCCACCCACTGCATATTTCCCGAACCTGTGCTACCTCTGCACAACTTCCCCAACTCATGTTGCTCTCTCTTCATGCCTTCCCCAACCCATACAGTATTTCTTGCACACCCCCATATACCCTTCCTGACCTGCACCTGTGTGCCTTCCTTGACCCATACGATACCTCTTTGGCACCCACCATACCCTTTCCAACCCATGTCCTCCCCAACTAGCACAGCAGCTCTTACACATCACTGTGACCCCTTTGCATTGTTCTTGTCCTGCACTTTCCCCGCATACCCTACTTGACCCATGAGGGATCTCTTACACCAGGGGTCCCCAACCCCTGGATCATGGACCAGCACAAGTCTGCAGCATGCCAGAAACCAGGCTGTGCAAATAAGGAAAGCCCCATCCACCAGATGCAGGCAGCACACAAAACCACACCTCTTCCAGTCCGCGGAAGAACCTCTCTCCACAGATCAGGTCCATGGTTTCCAAAAGGTTGGGGCCACTGTCTTATACAACCCCATGACTCCTTACTCTTCTTTACCTGCATCCCCACTGTAGCTCCTGACCAACACAGCACCTTACACACACTGGAACTTTTCCAGACCTATGCCACCCATCTGCACAGCATCTCTGGTGCACACTCACACACCCCTTGCAACCCATGTAATACCTTTCATGCACCTCACATACCATTCCTTGATGTTATTTGGGGCTGCTGCTCCGTCGCTTATTTCCCTTCCTCCACTCTCCCCCTTTATATAAATGTCTAGCCATTAAATATATGCATATAGTACATGAAAGTAATTTTCTTTCTAAAAATGCAAACATCTAAATCAAACATTATATCCCATGTAAATGGCATTTTCTCCCAATTCTGAATCTTTTAAATGTATTCAGTGTGGTGTTTTTCTAAAAAGCATAATCCTGTAAATTGTATTCCTATGGCCTAGGAGCACAATATTTACAACCTACTTATCCTGAGTGAATCTTTCCTCCTGGTAAGCATACTTTGAATGGCAGCATCAATCTTCTGTTATTTGATTACAGACATGAAAGAGAAGATTTTTTTTCAATTGTAGCGCTATGAGTTAAAGGTTCACACATATTGAAAATGACATTTTTACTTAATTGAGGCCTGTTCTGTATCCAGCTGGTTTCAAAAGTCTTTTTAAAAGTAGCATTTAAAAACTAGCATATCAAAAACTATAAATGTTAGAAAATACTTTGCATATTGAACTATAGTCAATATTTCTGACGTTCTTTTCAGTTTAAGACCTACTGAAATTCTCCAACTATTAAAATATTCTCCCCATTTTTAAATACTGCGTAGTTATAGTCTGAACTTCAACAAGCTGCTGTATCCTAAAATGATTAAACAGATGTGAAGCCTATAGCAGCATTAGACCTCTGATCTGATTTTAGCATACAGATGGAATTAAATTAATTCATACCAAACCCTGTAAAATAAAAGGTATGGCATTGAATGCTAGTGCTCTGTTTAACTAGAATGTACCTGTACCAACAGCTGTTGAGAAAAATTGTATGCCTTAATTTTCATAGAAATCTACCCTTAATGATATCACATTATTTTGAAATAAAAATTAAATTGCAAATTTGTTTTCTTTTTGCCCCTTTTTGCCTGTTTTTAAGGAGCTCCCCTGATTTATTACATATATACTATTGCCTTTTGGTTTTACAAACTTTGTATTACATTTTCAAAACATTTGCATAATAAAAAGTGCCATCAAAAAATTTGAGGCTAATTTACTATTTGAGTGCCATTTACTATGGTGTAATTTTGTGAGTTTGGAAGATTTTGTTTTGTCAGTATAAATTACTGTAATATCAAGGTGATGTGGATGGGTATATATACATGTATCATGATAACCTTTTAACTGTTGCCAGGTTTTAGATACCAGTCAAATTTAGCAGATTTTAAAAAGACAGAGAGGCTGGTGTGCCAATGGATCAACAGAAAACTATCAGCAAACAGCATTAACTAGGTGATTGCCACAAATGTTTACTGCTTTGTTCACAAGCTGTTTGAAAGGTTATATTTCTTATTGATGGGAATAGATTATATTAATCTTAATCAACATAATTAGAATTCCCCCAAATGCCACATTCCTATATCTCTTCTGATTAGAGCATCATTTTTTTCAGTATATACAAATGTACTTACACAGCATATATAATTCAGGTATAAAGCAGCTAACTTACCAAGCCACACTTTGAAGGTTAGGATCTTGAATTGGACATTGGATATTAATTTTTCTTCTCAAATTTCATCTGAGAATTTTGCTCTTCCATTTTAATTTGTATCTCTGTAGGGCAGTCATGCTATTAGCAGCCATGCTGCCATTCTGCATTTTGCAAATTTCCTTCTGATGTTGTCACAACATTTGGGTGATGGCAGTTGTTGTCTCTAAAATCGAAAGCAAAATGAGAGAACAACTTCCCATCCCCAGAACATGATTTGGCAAGGAGATCCTATTACATCTTGCACTGGTCGTTTGTGCTAAGAATAAGTGAAGCTAATTAGCAGATTAAAAGTGAGATCCTGATTTTCCATCTGCTTCTAATTTGGTGTGAAGTGATTGCGAGCTTATAACTATAGATATGGTTTAGTTCTATACCTTTATAAAAGGAGAATGCATGACTCTGAGTATGATATTTGAGCCATCCAACTGTGAAGAGATTCAGATATAGCTTACTTTAACTCTTCCTGGATATGCAAAGGAACTGAGTCTGTGAAATCCTGCAGAAGCATAGCATCTGCCTGCAACGCTGTAAAGTAACCACATAATCCCAAGAAAAACTGCAGCCATGAGAAGATTGCAAACATATGAAACATTTCTGCTTTATACACTTCAAAGCACTTTTTCAGAATTGAAATGCTATATAGATTTAACATATTAATTTAAATGTGTGTGATAGAGGCCCACCATTAAAAATACTATCTGTATTTCTACTTCTATTAGTACAAGTTTAGTTTCTGAAATTTATATAGATCTTTCAAGCGTTTGGCAATAAGGAGTGTTTAACAAAATTATATCATATAATGACATTGTCACATTCACATAAAGCATTTTCTTTGAAATAAGGAAGGAAATCAGCCTATACCATTTTCAAATTAGCATTCAACCTGGAAGTCAATATGTACAAAGACATCTTGTTCAGCAACCTATTAGAAAAATTAAGAGAAAAAGAAAGTTTAGAGCTTATTGGGAGATTATTGTATTCATGTGATTGTACTAATTAATGTTGAATATTCCTTTTTGTCTCAGGGTTTGTTGGTGAAAACGCTCAGCCAATCTCAGACAGCAACATTGGGAATCGGATGCTCCAAAGCATGGGCTGGACACCTGGTACAGGCCTTGGGCCAGATGGCAAAGGGATAGCCGAACCAATCCGGGCAGTTCAGAGGCCAAAGGGACTTGGACTTGGATTCAGCTGACAGAAAGAGATTCCAGTTGCTGGTTCAGACATCAACAAAACTAACTTGAACTTTGAATATCTGAAAACATTCTAATTTGTTGCCAAGACATCCAGTGATTCTTATTGTAATTTTTTAATAGAGATGCTTCATTGTTTTCTGTTAAAGCTGTGTGGGGACAGTCTTTAGGGCAGTCCTAATCTTTATCCTGAGTGTGTAATAATGATCATCTTTTAAATTGTACCTTTTTTTAAAAAAAATTCTGTGGTCTTAGTTATGTTGTCAAAGATTCAAAGAAATTATTAAATTCTCCTGCCATTTTTTAAAAGCCTTGCCAACACCATACATAAACCCATTATCTCTTGCTGGTTTAACATAGGTCTTTTACTCTGGAAAGCTGCTTAGTTACTAAGGCATCTTGTCTGGGAAGTATTTTGCTGTGTTTCTCACATTCATTCCAAAAAATTGTAGTGGATAGTACAAAAGAAAGCCTGGCTACAAAATTCTTTTTGTAGTAAGAGGCAAAAATAGAATAGGAAAAGAAATCAGAGTTTACCTTTTGAATTGAGATGCGCAAAATGCTTTGAGCTAAACACAGCATATGGGGTTAGATGGGGTTAACAGTGTCATTTTTTACATGGGTGTGATAAATGTAATGAATGTTAACAGGGTAAGGTGTTTCAATTGCTTTGTGGCATGGACTATTTTTGTGCTATATATATCTGTCTCTCCACAGATGCCCCCAATCTGTAGTCCAAAACATTAGGGGCAAAGCCTAAATTAAATTGTGTGTATATAATTAAATTAATTACATACAAGTAATATGATATTTTATATTTCTCATCTTTGAGCACTATAATTGTGATTGCAACAGGTGCTACATCAAATTTTGGGGGTCACATTTAGCCCTGGAGCCTCAGGTGATGCAACCTTGTTTTTAAAATATTGCCATATGACTCTATATAGCTTTGATTCATTGGGTCTTCTAAATGGTTCAGTATTGTTATATGCAATCTCTCTAGATCGTCTTACGTTGCATCTTGCTTCAAAATGTGCAGTTTTGCACGAGAAATGCAAAATGACAAATGATGAATTTGTCTTCCAACATTTGCAGCAGGTAACTCAATTCTCTTTTTTTATTTACATGCCCTCCAAGTACAATATTAACCTTTTTTTTAAACTTTCCTTTCTGGTGTCTTAGCTTGTATTCTTTTTAAAATAAATTTTTAAACCTACTGTCACCTTTTACCATGTCACTGTGACTGTCTAACTTGAGGGGATGGATTTAAAATGGGACCATATTAACTAGAGTCCATCCATGGTAGTTTGGGGAATATTTCTGTAATTGACAAATGGTGCCTGCTAGTGAGAAGGAAGGCTTCCCAGGCACAAATTTTTAAATAAAAAAAAATGACAAAGGGAATAGTAAAACAGACAGTCTTTTGATAAGATTAACAATATTATACTTAATCTTTGGACTTGTCATTGTGCTGACATCTCAAATTCATTAAAGAGGACTTCCATCAATGCATTAATGATGTGTTCTAATTATTATGCTAGAATGGCATATCTGCTCCCCAAACTAATTGCCCTTTGAATTCATTAAAATACTCCTACCAGAATATGATCATAAGGCAGTTCCCGGGTTAAGAAATCTGACTTACAAGGAACTTGTACTTATGAATGAACTGCCATAAAGCCTATTATATTAAAAAATTAAGTTAAATGCAGTGATTGATAATAACGAACTCATGTTACTTTGTGATGCTCTTGAAAACTCTGCGGCTTCAGCAATTTGTTGTCTTGAGGAAGGAGAACTTCAGATCAGATCACTTTGTCATTAGCACTGGGTTGAGTGTATAACTTTTTATTTGGTTTTAATTTTTCTCTTTTTTTACCCTTGTAACCATGCTTCCAAAGTGTAAGTCTGCTGAAAGTGCTTATGATGCATCAAAGGAAAAGGCAAACGATCATGATTGAAAATAAAGTGTCAATAATAACGTGAGCAGAAAGGGGTGAAACATCACCAGTCACTAGAAAAGCATTAGGCTACAATCCATCAATGATCAAAACACTTTTGAAGGATAATGTGAGAATAACGGAGGATGTGAAAGACCCTGTCCTCATGGAAACTACAATTATTACTAAACAACACCGTTATTTAATCATTGAAATGGAAAGGCTATTGATAATATGGTTAGATGTTAAAATCAAAGTAATATGCCTATTAGCCTTTATTGCAAGAAAAGTTTAATGATTTAAAAGCTGCACATGCACCAAGTGAAGGTAATTGTGACAAGGAATTTGTTACAAGTAGGTATTGGTTCAATTGTTCCAAAATGAGGGCAGATTTACAGAAAATTAAAATACAAGGTGAAGTAGCAAGTGTCGATATAAATGCTGCATTTGATGTCCTGAAATGTTGAAATAAATTTATGAGGAGGGAGGCTATTTGTCAGACAAAATATTTAATATAGATGAGATTGGCTTATTTTGGCGAAAAAATACCTGATCTACATTTCGAAAGAGGACAAAAATAAACTAAAGGTCAGTAATGTATTGAAAGGCAAACTAACGCTTTTATTTGGGGTGACGCATCCAGGGATTACAGGATCAAGCCTTTGCTTATATATCACTCCCTAAATCCAAGACACTTTGCTACATCATTAAGGCATCTCTTCCCATTATTTGGAAGGCAAATGCAAAGGCTTGGTTTACAATTGCACCTTTGAAAATTGATTCTTGAACTATTTTGTCCCTAGAGTTAAATATTATTGCATAACCAAGACATTTTCTTTCAAGATTATTATTGCATAACCAAGACATTTTCTTTCAAGATTCTGGTTGGGCTTCACAATGTACCCAGATATTTTAGATGATCTTCAAGTCAATGTAAAGGTCATATTTTCACACACACCCCAACACCACATAGATACTGCAACTAATGATCAGGTAGTCATGACTTTGTTTGTTATAAGGCCCATCTCAATGGTACAATGGCTCTGGGCAGGTTACGATATGATAAGTAAAGTACTACAAGACAATTAAAATTAGGAGGAATTAAATGGAAAAGCTAAAAACCAAGACAATGGGTGGGTCTCAGGGTGGGATCTTCTCTATCTGGTCAGCCACCCCCAAGGTAGCAGGCCTTTGAGGCCTATTATTTATGGTGAGCATAACTATCAGGACTATCCCGAATGATCTGATGACCATTTGACTAACTGACACTAAGTAACTTCAACTTGCCTACAGATTTGAATTAAAGACAGACTTAGGAACATATCTCATAACCAGGATCCAAGCAGAATTTGGATGCTATACCTCTCTCTTTGCTATTGTTGGCATGTCAGCCTATCCAGATTACTGTATCAAACTCAATGACCAGTTTCAAAGACTTAGAACTAGAATTCTTACATATTTTTTGTTTTATTCCCCTTGCAAATCCTTGCACCCCCTTCCAAATTCTCAAGAAGCAGTTGACCCTACAAAGTAGCAAATGACATAGGGTTTACAGCAGGAGTAGGTTACCCTTCATTTCCAAGTGTACAAAATAACATTTGAGATAAGTTAATGAAATTTAGTTTCCCTGATTCTGCTTATGAATGAATGAGCAAGCACTCCATTATTGCAGCTTGAGCAAAACATGTAATTGCAGTAGAGACAGGATGATTTCTGAATGGCTACCAAAATGTTCAGTGATTATTGGATGCCATCAAGTCAATGTTGACTCTTAGTGACCAGGTAGATATACGTTTTCCAGGATGATCCGTGTTCTATTGATAGACTTGGCCATGAAAATCATCAACTACACTTCTGCATTATTGATTGGCACATAAACTTGGATAAACATCATATTAGAGGGTTGTCTGCAAAATCTAATAGATATTTAATTGACTGTATTTTATCTCAATACTGTCTTTATTATAGCTTTCCTGACTAGAAATCCATGCTATTTCTTCTTTGATATTCCTGCCCTTAGTAGGATCTTCTCACTTAAAGGATCCAGTTCTGGTCCATTTGAATTTACTAATGCCTCAGATATCGATATGTTGTTGATTTGTTTAATCTTTCTTCATATTGAGCTTTTCATGTTAATGATCTCATGTTCCCTTTTCCCACTGTAATTCTTTTGGGGGGGGGCAACTTGAATTGCCCTTTCCTGCATGCAAACTTCAATAACTAGATATCATAAGGTTTAGTTGCATCATAAACACCATTCATACCCTGAAAGATCCTCAACAATGTACTTAGATGGGTCCATCAATTGGCACTATATCATCAATCACCATTTTTCTATAGATTACTATAGGTGCCCACTTGCTTTAGTTGGATAGTTGGGATAACTTTCATGCCTTGGCTGAGCCTGCTGGAAATATTTACTCTTATTATATATCTCAATCATTCTTCACTCATTCATCCCAAGAGCACCCCTGCCATAATAAGGCAGCATATCTGGACATGTAGGGAAAGAGTTCAATGGAAAAAAGTAAATACCTGGCTGCCAAAGATGCATCTTTTGTCCTAACATTGAGACACTTGTCACTTGTATCATTTCAATAAATTGCAATCAAACAGATGAGGTATGGGTAAGCTCATGTTTCTAGTGAAGAAAACAAGTAGCAAGGAAACATACAGGATAGATACACCCTTGAAATTTCAAGCATTATGAAATGATTCAGATAAAGTTACATTCTCCCCTGGTAAAAGAGGCCTAGAGTAGGTCTGCAAATGTATGTATCCAATATGCTTTGCTGTTAACATTTGCTTTGTAGAAGTTATTTTCCCCACGACCTTAACATGACAACCCTCTGGGCATATGAAGAAAAAAGAATGTCAAGCAGCTGTCAATTTTTTTTTTCCTGGAGAAATTGTTCCTTTGCACTTTCAGTTTATGCTGTCTCTTGTTTTCATCTTTCCCTCACCAAAATGCAGATAACCTGAAGAGTGAGGTAGAAAGAAACCTTAGGTGTCTTACTCAGATTGAACCTCTGATAAAATATATCCAGATACCCTGTCACTTTTCCTTAATCACCATTGCACTTGTTTCCTTATTTGAATAAAGATGAAATTTCCTTAGAAAAATACTGAAGTTGGCAAGAAAAATAAAATTGCAAATTTAAGATACCTGCCTTTGAATGTAGAGTGGTCATATAAGCCAAAGAACCATATTACTTGGGATATCCATTTATATACTTTCTATTTTATTTCTCTGCTTCTATACTAAAGAGAAGTATAGTTAATAACCATACTAAATATATTTCCAAGCTTCTTTCAACCATGTTACTGACAATATCACTGACAAGGTTGGGACACTTTGAGACTAGAGAAGATTGTCCTGACTTTTGTTATCTTCACCTCTCTCAAAAATACACCAGCAGATATCTTGTCACTCTGAATCCATGACAGGAAGAAACAGAAGTGCTTGTTGGGAAATGGGAAAACCAGACACCAAGAGGGGTAAAGAATGCAATAGGATAAAAACAACGTAATTCTAAAATATATCACAAGGGGGAAAATACATTTTTGTTTTCTTAGTTGTTGCAGTATTATTTATGTTTTGAGGAGATTGTGTGTGTGTGTTTCTGTGTAATATTTTCTTCTGTGTATAGTTAATTTACGGAAACTCCCACAATCAAGATGTGAAGATAGCCCCAGTTTAGTCTTAAAGAAAACTAGAAAAACAATATGGGGATTAAGATACCAGCAGCTGCTAATCTCTGTTGCACATCATATAACAATCAGTATCACTTAAATTCTAGTTGCTAGAAAGCAACATTTGAAAAAGCCTAACTTTTCACCATCTATAATATAAACAACTAGGATGCATTTGGCCTGCTCAAGAACAGTTAGATATTCTTATCTAACTAGAAGAAGCTTTTCAAATATTTTGTAAAAAAAGTTAATAATGTACGCATATTTTTTAGAAAAAGAAAAGAAAAGGCATTTGGATTATAGGTGTCAGGAACTAAAGCATTTATTTAATTTGCATCTAATTATTTTAGCAGCATGGTGGAAAACAAATACAAGTAGTTCTTGACTTATGACCATACTTGAGCCCCAAAATTATGTTCCTGAGTGAGACGTTTGTTAAGTGAGTTTTGCCCAATATTTTATAACTTTTCTTGCCACATTTGTTAGGTGAATCACTGCAGTTGTTAAATTAGTAACACTGTTGTTAAGTGAATCTGTCTTCCCTATTGACTTTGCTTGTCAGAAGATCACAAAAGATGATCACATGACCCCAGGCAGCACAAACGTCATAAATATGAATCAGTTGTCAAGCATTCAAATGTAAATCATATGACCATGGGGATGCTGCATTGGCCATAAATGTAAAAAAAATGGTCATAAGTCATTTTTTTCAGTGCTGTTGTAACTTTGAATGGTCACTAAATGAACTGTTGTAAGTTGTGGACCCCCTGTACCCATCTCCAATTAAGATTACTCTTTCTACCAGTATAGCTTAAACAGCAGAATGGCTTAGCTATGGAAGAGTCTATCACCATAGTTTAGGGTCTGCTAGCATGTTTT